CGCAGCCATCAAAAAAATGCAAGAACTAAGGTCCTGCCAGGGCGCAAAGGGCTGGAATTTCCTGCAGCCCTCCCTCCACCAGCTCCTGCGAGCCTTTAATCAGCATCCAAGAGAGGACCTTCAGTCACACCTTCATATAACCAGTCCATGTCTGTGGGGCTCAGCAGGGAGCACTCCTCACCCTCCAAAGGGGGGAGGACCTGAAGAACTACTACGGTAGGAAGGCCAAGAATGAAAGGCAGTAACAACCTGTCTGATCTGTTATGCTCAGCTCAGTAGATTTACCTACTCAAGGGAAACATTGTTTGGATCCAGGTCTTTTCCTGTTCCTTGGTTAACGACCTTCATGGAGAGGGAAAGTTTCAGTTTGTCATCTTTCATCTGAAAGAGAAAGGCATAGAGCAAGAAGAGGAAGCAACAGCGATGTTAACTAATACAAATCTAACAGGCTGCCGATAGAGAAGGAATGAAATTGTCAGCACAGAAAGGAACTACTAAAGCAAGGCTACTACGTGAAAATGATTTTGTTCTATTAAAATGTAAATACAGCCAAAATGCAGTTATTCTAGTTAACATGAGTATGTTAAGCAGCTACCTCAGAAATAAAACAAGATCAAACTACAGATCCATTCAGATTAACATTCTGCATTTAACATGAGCGAACCAAAGCGCTGTAGAAGAAAGGGTATGTTTAGGAACTTTGCTATAATTCTCAATAATTAATCAGTAATCCACCCACAAGGGAGTTTCTGCTGGACCTTCAGCAGATTTGCACCCTGAAAAATAAGACTCTATACCTGCTCTCACATTTCTATCTTCTTATGAGGTTAAAAACTTTCTAAGTATCTGTATTAGGGGCTTATTCTTTTCTGAATCCTAATAAGCCCTTGATTGCCACATTATCCCTTTAGAAGCAAGAGCAAAGGTCGTAACTTTTAAAAGTCTTTTTACAACCTTCTATAAGTACACACCAAAAGGTTCTAAATCTGTTTATCTTCCACAAATGGAAGGCATTGCTTTGTATGTCAACCCTATTGTTATCGTTCAAAAAATCTGAAAGATGTAAACCAATTATGACAAAAACCTCTCATCTCTAGAAGGCAGCAAGTTTCAAAATACATGTATTTGCCAAAAGAATTATAAAAAACCACACACACAAAAAAACACCTTCCCACCTTTCTTTCCTAAAAAATATAGTCCACTTTCACTGTTTCAATGGCTCACCAAAGTAAGAGTCTTTGTTCCAAGGAATCTTTAAATATAGAAGATAGGCCTAGCATCACTTCTTTTGTGCACCAAAAAAGCAATATAATAAAGGGTAGAAAATAAGACACACCCCTCCAAAAAAAAAAAAAATCTGTGTTTTCCCTTGGGCAAAATTCACTGTCAACTATCTTTCCTTGAAAACAAAAAACACTCAGCTTCTTCTAATAACAGACCTGTCTCTCACAACTGTTAAAAGACTGTGCTTATATTGGCTCTCATCTTGGAATCCTCTCAAATTGCTCATTTGGCCACCAATCACACAGTTATGGGGGTGCAAGCTGCAAACAGGTAGAGAGGAAAAGAAAGGAAAGCGCTTTGCTGCTTTTAAGTTTTGATTGCATTGCAGCAAGTCACAGAAGGTCAGCTTCCAATGTCTCACCTGACAGTGAGCAGAAATCAACTGTTTATCAGATATATCATGTTTTGTTTAACAAAGCGACCAGAACACCCTGCTTCTGCATATCAAAAAGTTCTTAGTTTACTCTTTTTGTAATATAATTTATTTATACAGTGTTAAAGAAACAAGAATTAACATTACCTCTTTTCCAATAAGTTTCACCCACACTTTGTCTCCAACATCTACTATCTCTGAGGGCTTATCCACACGGCAGGATGACATGTGAGTCTTATGAACAAGGCCTGGTCATATTTTTGGAAAAGAAGAAAGGGAAGAAAAAAAAAAAAAGTCTCTACTGACTGTTAGTTTTGTCCTCTAGGAGTCAGAGGGCACCTATTAAGAGGTTTCCCTACGCAAAACTAAGCATCTAGTTTCCCAAACACATTACGCAGATGAGAATCAGTTAGTTTAATCAATCAAGTTTGTTTGCAAACATATAAAAGCTCATCAATATTTGCTCCAAATTTACTCCATGCTGTTAGGAAGCATGAGTGACACACAGCAAGACAATAGGCGTCAAAAGAGATAGAGGAAGCGATGAGAAAAGCACTGCTCTCCCCAAAGGTGTAGAGCTGCATATGCCCCCTTCTGACCACCATCACCACAGAAACAATCCTCAAGTTTTTGTATGAAACAAATGCAATCAAAACTAAGGGATCTGATCAACCAACAGGGAGACAGTATTCTCATAGCCTCCAGGCTGGATTCATCAGTCCAAGTTTTCATGTGTGTCCAGACACCTCCGGGGCTGGATGATTTAGCACTATGTGCAATGAGCTGGCGCCTCATTGATAACTGAGACATTACTGATAACTGAGACACTAACTCCAGAAAAAGAAAACGGACCTTCCGTATTTAAGATCTTAATTTACAGCTTGTCAGAGAAGCAGGCCCCAAAGCAGCGTCTTTGTACTCAAAATACCAGGCGTCCACATGGAAAAAAAGAAAAAAAAAACTTTTATTTTAAGCAGGCATTAACGCCTCTCTATTCCTGTCAGTCCTCTGAAACCAACGTAAGCACTAGAGAACAAAGAACATTTCATGCATCAGCAGCACAATACTTTGCTGGCAATGTCAAAACCATTAAATACCCAGGCTGACCTGATTTTCTGTTGTGCTTGCAAGGTCATACAGCCAGATTTTTTTTTTTTTTTAAACTTACACAAATAATAAATGTGGGCTACAGGATTATACATGGAAGGATAAGTATGGAAACACACCTTCATGTCTAGGCTTATATTTCAGGACATGTTTGCATCTCAAAGAGACATCCTTCCACTAGTCACACTTCCATGCAAAAATTTTTATTAGAGCTGGCGCTAAAGTAAGTGTGCAATTCAAGATGAGAGTGAAGAAGTGGTTATTCGTATGCATACAAACAATTGACAGAACATCCAGCTTAAATTGCTTCTTTTGTGTGACTAGTTTATTTTACTCTGCGGTTTTCCCACAACTGTAAACAAAACTAAGTCAGCTTTTCCGGTCTATTTTTTATTTGAAGTCCACTTCAGTCATCTTTATTTGACTTGCAAACTGGTCATGAAAGAAATAAGTTGTCAAGCTAAATTTCTTGTGGAATTTTCTATAGTTTGTCCACCACCTGAAAACGATTCTCTAAGATGCGGTGAAGTTACCAAAAAAAAAAAAAAAAACCCACTTCCTCTGAAATCCTCTGAGCCTTTTCTGTATAACTGCATATGTAGCACTACCTTAAGTAATTTGTGAGAACCTGTTTTTTCTTTTTTTTAAATTCAACACTTTTTCTGAGCTAGCAGATAAATCAGATAGAGAAAAAGAAGGAGAAATTCTAGTATTCTCCTAAAAATTGCCAAATCTTTTATTCTGGGGATGATTGCAGAGCCTAACAAGTCGACATGAAAATAAGCCTAAACAAATAAGAGAAACAAACCTTGTTTTCTGCAGCCTGGGATTTTTATAAATGCCCCATATTCTGTTACAGTAGCAACCTGTGAAGAAAATCAATACAATATCTAAACAAAAGAGACTTGGTAAAAATCCTGTTTTGAAACCACCAGTTAAAACATGCACAAAAAAGGCTAAATGGTTCTCATATCTTAGTTCAGTTTTAGACTTCAAGGCTGGGGAGAGACAACACTCCTCGATAACTCTAGAACAAGCGTGGCCAGCCAACTACTCCTCTGTTAATAATACATATGCATATATGTGTGTGTGTGTGTGTGTGTGTGTGTGTGTGTGTGAACACACACATATACGTATACTTACATAAACGAGCAACGTAGCTGACAGTTACCCAAACCACCGCTGAACTAACCAGTCATTTAAACTAAAGCAAACAACCCGCACTTCACGACACCTCGCAGTATCGTGGCCGCAGCCCCACTGCACACCTCTCCTTGGAAGATAGCGTAGAGCTCAGGCAGCGCCTCCATCATCTCAGACCTCACAGGACGTGCTCGGGAGCGTCTCTGGGAGCAACCGACAACGTTCCTCCAAAACCTTCTGGGCGACTCCAGTTGAACTCATTGCACGTCACTGCGCTGCGGAGGAACCACGCTCGTAACCGGAGTTCAGAGAGATGCCTTGGAAAAATATATTTAATCAGCACTTGAGAACACCTCCTGCAACCAGCTCAGTGACATTCGACTAATATGACAAATTCTTTGGTTCATTTTGATTTAGGCTATGATGCGACACTAGCTCCTCGAGCTGGGTGACACCAGCTGCGGCCGCCTTCGGGCCGCTCTCCCAGGCGGCACCGG